GATGATGGAGGTGGGGCCGGGGAAGTCGTTGACCCCCTACGGGTTCCGTCGCCCCCAGGGATGGGAGCTGGAAGCGGTGGGACGACAAATCTGAACGCTGAGATGAGCCGCGGGCGTACCACAGCTAGGAGGGATCCTGCTACCCGAAGCCGACTTAAGCCCGCTCCCCCTACTCCCACAGAATCGGATCTTAATGAAGCGGCCATTGCAGCAGAAGCTTTGATGGCTGCGATGACTCCGGGTCCTCTTAAGTCTGGGGAGGGCAGTGCAGACAGCGTGCGACACTTGAAGCCGTCCGAGAGTCCTGAGAAGAAACCTAAGCTGACGACTAAGATGCCGGGGGCAGCACCAACTGCTCCGCAGTTCGGTCAGACCGGACAAGTCGGATTGTCGCTCCCGCAGACACGCCACCCCCCCCTCTTTCACGGTAATCCCGTTGGTGCTCCTACTGAGGTATTGCCGCATGCAGATCCTTCAGCTCCCTCAACTGCGGCCCCCCCCCCCTGTCAGGCATGAACCACAGCACTTCAACTTGGACCCTGAGCCGCCCTGGCTTCAGGGACTTCAACAGGAGCTCCAGACGATTGTCCGGACGCAGAAGCAGATGGCCTCGCAGATGCAGGACTCAGGACGGGAAGTGGGAAAGATTCAGGAGAGCATTCGGCATTTGCATCTTGGTCAAGATAATTTGGCAAAGCGGGCTGATGAGCAAGAAGCTGCACTGGCACAGATGCGAAAGGAGTTTAGAGAGCTTGAGAAGGAAGTCCAGGATCTTCGCAGTGCCCCTCCCACGCGACCTGTTAGTCCGGTGTCCACTCCCCGGGGGGGTCAGGGCTATGCCAGGGCTAACAGCCCAAGGTTTGATGCGGCAGGCCAACGCGAGGTGGATGAGCTTCAGCTAGTTGCGGGAGGGTGGATCGAAGCCAAGAGAGAACATGTTGAAGCAGACGTTCAAGCTATGTTCGATCAGCTTCAGGCACGCCCGCTTTTGAAGGCTGTGTACGTTCCGTATGTGAGGAGCAGCTTTTGCCGTATTGAACTGGTCTACACAGATGACAACATTTGGGCTCGGCGCAAAGTTCAGAGTACGGTCCTTCAGCACTTGAAAGGGTTGTCCTTTAGGTCGTCTGTTGCGGGGCAAGAAAGTGCTCGCTTCTGGTTCTCTCGAAATCGAACACAGCAAGACCGCGCCAAGATACGAGCCATCTTGCAGACCCAATCCCTCTGTCATAAATACCTTGACGAATCTTTGGTCGAAAAAGATTGGCGAGGGAAGGTCTGGGCTTGTGGGACCCAGGTGCTCTTTCACGTTGAGAGGGATGCGCGCCCCTCCCAGACCCTCATGCTCATCGACTCTCGTGGAAATGAGACAGGATGGTTTTTGAACGTGGAGCAACTTGTTGCACGTCTCGGGGCCACTCAGGATGCCATCTTGGCAGTTTTTGATGCCAAGCCGGAGTAGGGAATAGGAGGGAGAGCACGAGAGGGGAGGGAAACAGTTTCGGGGGATGAGGCGGCTCTCTCTGGGAGCAACAGATCCTCTCAAGTCTTCAAGTGCGCTGTCGCGAATAGGCGGCATGCTCAAATTCAACTGCAATGTATGACTTGGAATTTACATGGTAAAAGCATTGACCATGTCAGTACTTTGCTGTATTTCCTTGAGGTGCCCCCGCAAATC